CTCCTCAGGCCCAAGCCCGGGGGCTACTTTCATCCCACCAGCACTTAAGAGCTTCACCGGCGGTTGTGGATGTGGGGATGGCACAGGCAGGGCTGGGGCCCAGCACGGGTGCACCCCACGTTCCTCACAGGGTAGAGCACCCACACAGAGCAGCTCCTGTGTTGCGGAGTTGCTGGGCTGGCTTTGCTGGCAGTGGCCTTGCTGGAGTGTCATGGCCCAGGGCCCCCGACCCTGAGCAGACACACCTGGTGGAGAGGCCGCCACCTCATCAGCAAGGGGTTTGAGCCCTGCCCCAGGACAGCTCCCTGCAGCACCCCTCCCGGGGCTGGGGTATCCCGAGCCAGTCCCTGCTCCTGGTCCCTTACCCTTTGGTGTAGGTGCCTGGCTTCTGGTAAACCCTGTGCCTGCTACACTGGTGAGCATTTAACTAGCACCATGAAAAAAGGTAGGCTCTAGTTTTTCAATTTTTGTAAATACTTCCTTCATGGCCTGTAGGGCATGTTGGGAACCCTATGTAAGGCTACGTGCCCCACAGGGTCGTGGGGTGAGCTTTATGCTGTGCTGAGGTGCAGGATCCGAGATATAAAGAGACAGGACACAGAAGTACAAAGAAGCTGGGCGCGGTGGCTCAAGCCTGTAATCCCAGCACTTTGGGAGGCCGAGGCGGGTGGATCACGAGGTCGAGAGATCGAGACCATCCTGGTCAACATGTGAAACCCCGTCCCTACTAAAAATACAAAAAAAACTAGCTGGGCGTGGTGGCGCATGCCTGTAATCCCAGCTACTTAGGAGGCTGAGGCAGGAGAATTGCCTGAGCCCAGGAGGCGGAGGTTGCGGTGAGCCGAGATCGCGCCATTGCACTCCAGCCTGGGTAACAAGAGCGAAACTCCGTCTCAAAAAAAAAAAAAAAGAAGTACAAAGAAAACGCAGCTGTGCTCGGGGGGGCCATGCCACCTATAAGCGAAGTCAGGCGAAGCCCCGAATGTCCAGAAGGCTGAGTATTTATTGTGTATAGGTTAGGGGGCAGGGCAGTGAGTGAAATCATCTTTAAGGATAGTGATAGGGTCGTGAGCAATAAAACAGGGTCCACCCCCATTAGGTCACCGAGGCATGTAGGTGGGCCGTGCGCAGTGAAGAGGGTGCAGAGTGCGATACTTCTGTCTATGGGAAACTACTTCTAAGAGAAGATTCATTGGAGGATGCTTTAAGTCACACAGCAGTGACAGAGCTGTCACGGTTACCGCCACCTTCTGGCAGCTTCCAGTGGCTTCTGTGGGAAGATGCTTTTCGAGCAGCACAGTAGCAAGAGCTGATAAAGTTCACAGTCACCAGGTGGATTGCGGGTCTGAGGGCAGCCTTCCACGAGAACTGGAGCAAGGTCCTGCAACTCCTTTATCAGGAGGAGTGGCTCTCGCCCCAAGCCTGCCGTTCAGCGGGTATCTTTACGATACTTACGATACTGAACGCTGCCGCCTGGGCCATGGAGTCTTGCCCTGGTATAACTGTCTTCCCTAAACCATGCTCTGCACTGTGTCTGCTCTGGGCATTCCTCCAATTATAAGCTGCTTATTCCTTAATTCATGCTCTGTACTGTGTCCACTCTAGGCATTCCTCCAATTATGAACTAAGATATAATTATAGGTATATATGTAGGGAAATATTCTTTAGGCACTCATACTATCGACTATTATATGATTATATAGAGAGGATTATATAAAGGGATTCTTTAAGGCCTAATTCTGTGAACTAATATATGATTATGTAAAGGATTATATAAAAGGAAATAGCTGCGTAGTAACACTATAAAGTGAGATATTCCTCAAACCCTAACTGTGCCAGGGCTCTGCTTAGCTCTCATTCCTTGGTGCCTATATGGGGGGTTACCCACAATGGCCTATTTACTTTTTTTTGAGACAAGAGTTTCACTCTGTTGCCCAGGCTGGAGCGCAGTGGCATGATCTCGGCTTACTTCACTTCCACCTCCTGGGTTCAGGTGATTCTCATGCCTCAACCTCCCACGTAGCTAGGATTACAGACGTGTCCCAGCACACCTAGCCAATTTTTGTATTTTTAGTAGAGATGTGGTTTCACCACATTGGCCAGGCTGGTCTTGAACTCCTGACCTCAGGTGATCTGCCCGCCTCAGCCTCCCAAAGTGCTGGGATTACAGGCATGAGCCAGTGTGCCTGGCCCAGCCAATTGAGACAGAGTCTCTGTCACCCAGACGGGAGTGCGGTGGTGTGATTTCTGTTCACTGCAGCCTCAATCTCCTGGGCTCAAGCGATCCTCCCACCTCAGCCTCCCAAGTAGCCTCAGCTACTCCCCATCACCTCTGGTGAATTTCTTTTTTTGCAGAGATGGGGCCTCACTATGTTACAGGCTAATCTTCAAGTCTTGGGCTCAAATGATTGGTCCTCCCACCTCAGCCTCCCAAGTAGCTGGGACTACAGGTGTGAGCCACCACGCCTGGCTAATTTTTGCATTTTTAGTAGAGACAGTTTCACCATGTTGGCCAGGATGATCTGGATCTCGACCTTGATCCGCCCGCCTTGGCCTCCCAAACTGCTGGGATTACAGGGTGAGCCACTGCGCCCAGCCCCAAGAATGAATTTTTAGGAGTGGGTCTAAAATTAGGGTAGACATTGCTGGTCTCTGTAGGTCTAATAACATCAAGGCAGGATCTTTCTGAGCCGTTGGCAGGGGTTTTGTATAGTGAAACAGGTACTCCTGTTTAAGCTGAGCTCTTTGTTTTTTGAGACGAGTTTTGCTCTTATTACCCAGACTGGAGTGCAATGGCGCAATCTTGGCTCACCGCAACCTCTGCCTCCTGGGTTCAAGCGATTCTCCTGCCCCAGCCTCCCGAGAAGCTGAGATTATAGGCACGTGCCACCATGCCCAGCTAATTTTGTACTTTTAGTAGAGGCGGGATTTCTCCACATTGGTCAGCCTGGTCTTGAACCCCCCGTCTCAGGTGATCTGCCCACCTTGGCCTTCCAAAGTGCTGGGATTACAGGGGTGAGCCACCATACCCAGCTTGTTTTTGGTGGGCGGGGTGGGGGCGGAATATGGTCTCACTCTTGCTCAGTCTGGAGGGCAGTGGCATGATCTCGGCTGACTGCAACCTCCACCTCCCCGTCTCAAGCGATTCTCTTGCCTCAGGATCATAATCTTAAGATTATTGAAGTATTACAGGCAGCTGTGCACTGGGTCGCCAAGATGTTCGCCAAGTGTGCTCCGTTGCACCTGGCCACTCTGCCCTCAGTCCAGTCCTAAGGAGCCAGAACTACAGCCCTGCGCCGCCATGCCCATTTTTTTTTTTTTTTTTTTTTCCCCCTTCCTTGAGGCGGAATCTCACCGTCGCCCAGGCTGGAGAGCAGCAGCATGATCTCGGCTCACTGCAACCTCTACCTCCCAGGTTCAAAAGCGATTCTCCTGCTTCTGCCTCCCGAGTAGCTGGGCTTATAGGTCTGCATCACCACACCCAGCTACCTTTTTTATTTTTATTTTTTATTTAAATTTTTAGTAGAGAAGGGGTTTCGCCATGTTGACTAGGATGGTCTCAAACTCCTGACTTCAGACGATGCACCTGCCTCAACCTCCCAAAGTGCTGGGATTACAGGCATGAGGCACTGCGCCCGGCTAAATTTCTGAAGTTTCTAAAGAAAAACTTTTCTGAAGACAAATGGGTATTTTGGGGAAAAAACATGTGCAGTAACTGCGTACTTTCCTTTGTTTAAAAATGAGGGGTCATAACACACGCACCGCCTCCATTTCCCACACTGCATTTTTTTCTTCCTCAGTTGTCTATGAAGGACCAATCCATCTCTAGTTCTAGCTCATGGAGCGTGGCAGCTCTGCTTCCCACAAGTGTTGCCACCACTCCTGTGGGAGGCAGCCAGTCGGATCTGGCCTGGGCATTCATTGCGGTGGCCACTCTAAGCCTCCTGGGCCGGCTCTGTGCAGCACCTGTGGCTGAATAACGCCCCAGCCGCTAACAGCTGGGTCCTGCCCCAGCTGGGACCTTTCCCTTTTGGCCGGAGGCTACTGGGTACAGGGACCCTAACAGGCTGGTCTTAGTTCACCTCCTTGAAATTGCTTCCTGAGAAGGGGAAGGACGTTCTGGTTCCCTGCCCCCACAAGGTTTTCTCCGACTGAAGTGGCCACATCCCCTTTCTTCTAAGGGTCCCTAACTCTCGGGAGGTACTTTTTATTTTTTTGAGACGGAGTTTTGCTCTTGTTGCCCAGGCTGGAGTGCAATGGTGTGATCTCAGGTCACCGCAACCTCCGTCTCTAAGGTTCAAGCGATTCTCCTACCTCAGCCTCTCGAATAGCTGAGATTACAGGCATGCGCCACCATGCCCGGCTAATTGTGTACTTTTAGTAGAGACGGGGTTTCTCCAGGTTGGTCAGGCTGGTTTCGAGCTCCCGACCGCAGGTGATCTGCCCGCCTTGGCCTCTTAAAGTGCTGGGATGACAGGCGTGAGCCTCCGCTTCTGGCCAAATCTGATTTTTCTTTTCAAAATCACACTACGGGGTCGGGCGCAGGGGCTCACACCTGTAATCCTAGCATTTTGGGAGGCTGAGGCGGGAGGACACTTGAGGTCAGGAGTTCGAGCCCAGCCTGTTAACATGGTGAAATCCCGTCTCTACTAAAATTGCAAAAATTAGGCCGGTGGTCAGCACACCCAGCGGGGCAGACAACCGAGTCGCCATCACCCATCCGCCGCCGTCACCTCGCGCCAGGCAGCTCCCCAGCCCCAGGAACGTGGAGTCGGGGAGAGCCGGTACCACAGATTCAGCGCTTGTCCGGGGTCCTTCGCCTCCAGCCCAAGCGGGGAGTAGCTGCAACCACTTCCGTCTTCCGGATAATGTCGCCGCCGTCGCCTTGAGCCTGCACTTCCGTCGGCTCTGGCTGGTCCGGAAACGATTCTGAACCCAAAGGCGCATCTAGGGCCCGCACCGCCTGGGATTATGGGAAATGTAGTTTCTTTTTTGCCTCCGTAAGGGACCGGGCGGAGCTGAGGAGCCGTGCGAGGGGTCGGCCCGTGACTCCCTCAAGCGGAAACCGTCGCCTTTCGGGCCGGGCGGGGCCTGCGACGACGCAGAATCCGGGGCCGCGGGGACGCCAGGGTGCGCTGCGCGTAGGAACCGCCGGGCGGCCGCCGCCGATCCGAGCCGGCTCGGGGACGGACCGGAAGTGCCCGAGGGCGGCCGCGCGGAGGGAAGGGTCAGCGGGGACGCCGCGCTCCGCGGGGGAGCTTCGGCGCGTCCGAGCTGCGTGTGCGCAGAGCCCTCCCTGCGGGTTCCGGCGGCGGAGGGAGAACCCGGCCCGCCGCCCCGGCCGCGGCCCGCCCGGGACCGCTCGGAGGCGCCGCCGCCCGGGCTCAGCAGGGACCCGCGTTCCGGCTCCGCCGCGCGGACCATGCTGCTGGGGCGCCTGGCTTCCCCGCTGTTGAGGGCCGTTCCGTGGGCAGGTAGGAGGCGCCGCGGGGCGGCGGGGAGGGACACGCCCGGGCGGCCGCGCGCGAGCTCCTTTCCCTCTGAACTTCCGAGGCTCACGGAGGGAACCCCGGGGTGCAGGCCGGGGACGGGGTGCAGGGGATGCTCGCGGGGACGAACGTGCGGCTCCCCGGCCCGCGGCGGTGACCGCGCCGTCTGCTTTCCCGCAGGCTGCCGCCGGCTCGCGCCCGGCTCCGGGGTGCTGGGCGGCCGGGCCTGCGGGCGCCTCTACGGCACGCAGCCCGCCGGCCCGGGCGGGGCGGCCTCGCTCCCTCGCAGGGGGGCCCCGCTGGCGCTGGAGGAGGTGCTGGTCCCCAGGAAGATGTCCATCAGCCCCCTGGAGAGCTGGCTTACGGCCCGCTGCCTCCTGCCCGGACTGGAGGCCGCACCCCGGCCCCACGAGTGTCCGCCCTGCCACGCAGGGGAAGGGGCCGAGCGGGGGGACGAGGGGGTCGGGGAAGCGCCCCCGATGCATTGCAAAAACGTGCTGAAGATCCGCCGGCGGAAGATGAACCACCATAAGTACCGGAAGCTGGTGAAGAGGACGCGGTTCCTGCGGCGGAGGATCCGGGAAGGACGCCTGAAACGGAAGCAGGTGGGCGGCCCCTCCTCGGCCCTGGGGGCGGGTCGCGGCGCCGAGAACGCGCGGCGTGGCCGCGAATGACCCGGTGGTCCCTCCCTCTGTCCCCGGCAGCTCAAGTTCGAGAGAGACCTGAGGCGCATCTGGCTGAAGGCGGGGCTGAAGGAAGCCCCTGAAGGCTGGCAGACGCCCAAGATCTACCAGCGGGGCAGATGAGTCTGGCACCGCCCCCCACCCCCCGCGCCTCTGCTCTCATCCGCAGTAATAAATGCTCGGACCACTCAGCCGTCCCCGCGGGTCTAGAGCCACTTTTGCCTGGCGCGGCGACTCAGGATGGAGGCTGGTGCCAGTCCCTGGGTTGTAGAAGCCCCAGGCACCAGGGTGGCAGGTTGGCCGTCCCTCTTTCTAGCTGGCCCTCAGCCGCCCTCCCGAGGGTGCTGGGCCTGCGGGAGTGAATGGGTGCTGTGGAGTCACTGTGAACGGAGCCCCCCGCCCCCCACCGAGTGCCGCATTCCCTGGGGGAGGTCGACCGAGTGAAGACCCAGATGGCGGAAATGCAAGAGGACAAGACTGGGGTCGAGGGAGAGCCCAGAATGCACGGGGGCCACTCAGGTGTGTTTCATGAGTGGAGGGCCGGGAGGGGCTTCAGTGGGAAGTCAGGGAAGGCCCTGGTGCTGCTGGCCATGGTGGATGGTACCCGCCACACTCCGTGGATGTGGCCTCCAGTGGTCCTCTTGAGCCGTCCAGCCGTCAGGGCCAGGCTGTTGGCCCGGCTGCCAGCCTTCCTAGTCATGTGTGCCACCTCCTGGGGCCCTGAGTGGAGGAGGGAGCTAAGCAAGAAGAGATGGCCCAGATGGGGTTCGGGGTTGGGGGCGCCCAGATGGGGTTCGGGGTTGGGGGCACTGAGGAGACAGTGTCGTCTACAGGGCTGGAGAGTCCCTGAGGCTCAGCTTGAGGCCCCTGGTGTTTCCAGGTTCCTTTTGATGAAAAAGAATAATACGTTATGGGGCCGGGCGCGGTGGCTCACGCCTGTAATCCCAGCCCTTTGGGAGGCCGAGGGGGGTGGATCACGAGGTCAAGAGATCGAGACCATCCTGGTCAACACGGTGAAACCCTGTCTCTACTAAAAATACAAAAAATTAGCCGGACATGGTGGCGCGTGCCTGTAATCCCAGCTACTCAGGAGGCTGAGGCAGGAGAATTGCCTGAACCCAGGAGGCGGAGGTTGCGGTGAGCCGAGATCATGCCACTTGCACTCCAGCCTGGGTAACAAGAGCGAAACTCCGTCTCAAAAAAAAAAAAAAAAAAAAAAAGGAATAATACATTATTCCTTTTTTTTTTTTTTTTTTTGAGATGGAGTCTCGCTCTGTCGCCAGGCTGGAGTGCAGTGGCACGATCCCAGCTCACTGCAACTTCCGTTTTTCACTTTCAAGCAATTCTGCCTCAGCTTCCGAAGTAGCTGGGACTACAGGCACACACCACCATGTCCGGCTAATTTTTTTTTTTTTTTTTTTTGTATTTTTAGTAGGGACAGGGTTTCACCGTGTTGGACAGGATGGTCTCGATCTCTTGACATCGTGATCAGCCTGCCTCGGCCTCCCAAAGTTCTGGGATTACAGGCTTGAGCCACCTCACCTGGCCTTTTTTTTTTTTTTTTTTTTTTTTTTTTTGAGGCAGTCTCTGTCGGGCAGGCTGGAATGCAGTGGTGTGACCTTGGCTCACTGCAACCTCCGCCTCCTGGATTCAAGTGATTCTCTTGCCTTAGCCTCCCGAGTAGCGGAGATTGCAGGCGCCCACCACCACACCTGGCTAATTTTTGTATTTTTAGTGGAGATGGGTTTCACCATGTTGGCCAGGCTGGTCTCGAACCCCTGGCCTCAGTGATCACCTGCCTCGACCTCCCAAAGTGCTGCGATTGCAGGCGTGAGCCACTGCGCCGGCTGGAACACAGCATTCCTAAGAGCAGGGGTAGCAGGACGTGGTGGGCAGGGCACTGGGAAAGGGCTTCCACCACCTACAGCTCAGGGACAGGAGAGGAGCCTCTCCCATCCCACCTGTTGTGAAGGCTGGGCTGCCTCTCACCAGGGATGTGGTGGCCTCCTGTTTTTTGTCACAGAAACATGTCTGTGGCTCAAGCTTGAGTCCCTTCTTGCCCATCAGACCTTGTGGAGAGCTCGAGCACTGTTCCCAGCAGTTTATCTAGAACAGGACAGACTTGTGGGTCACATATTGTCTGAGGAGTTGGGCCCTGCATGTGCCAGCTGGTGAGGTCAGCAGGGCCTGTCTGTTGGTCCCTGTCCCCACGGCCCCACGGCCCCACGGCCCCACGGAGAGGCTGTGTGGCTGCCCCTGGAGGAGCCCGGAGCCCCGGGCTGGTGCAGATGCACTTCCCCAGGCCGTCACACGGGGGCAGCAGCCAGGCTCCTGGGTCCAGGGCTGGGGACCAGGACAGGTGGCAGGAAGCAGCTTGCAAAGCCCCAGCTGTGGTCACAGGCATCCGGGTCTGTTTCCCCAGGTGTGAGCGGGCAGGGGTTCCAGGGCCAGAGCCTCAAAGGCTGAAACTCCCTCAAGTGAAGCAGAGCCCACTCAGTGGCAACCCTGGCCCTGCCCCAGTCTCCCGGTGCCCTTGCCCACCACTGGCACCCTCAGCAGAGCAGCTGCTCCCGGCATTTCCTTCCAGCCCTGCCTCAGGAGCTGCCCCGGAGCTCACCTGCCCCATTCCTGGGTGAAGGAGGAGACACAGGAAGCTGAGCTGAGCCGTCTAGAGTCCGAGCCTGCAGAGCTTGGCTGGGCAACCAGCGGGGGGCACAAGCCCTGGGACACCCCCTGCCCCGGTCTCCTCCTCCCCTGCGTGGCGGCTGTCTGGGGGTGCTTTGGGAGCCAGGTCACCCATGGCTTTCAGCCACATCTGGAGACAGCTGCGGTCGTCACAGTGGGAGGTGCGGCTGGCACAGGTGGGTGGAGCCCAGGGATGCTGCCACATGCCCTGTGTGGCGAGGACATACCCACCACAAACCCATCAGCCCAACGTCAGCAGCGGTGGGTACCCTGCTCCAGATGTGACTGTCCACCGAGGCAGGGCCTGAGCCGCCCGCCCCAGCTCCTGCAAGCTTGGACTCCGCTTTGGCTTGGAAGCCTTTGTTGCCCAACCACAACCTTGGGAAGCAATTTGGGGGTTTTATTTTTATCTCTGTGGCTGCTTGAAGGCCACAAGAGGCCATCCCTCCCCTCTTCTCTATGGGGCCTCTGCCCTGTCCCTGGTCTGTGAGACATACACCACCTCTCCCTGTTGCCTCCCCTGTTCTGGCCCTGGGCATCATCTGGGCAAGAGGGCAGAGGCGGGTGGGATGTTGTGGTGTCATGTGAGCTGCCAGCAACCTGCCCCTCACCACGGCAGGTCCTGAGGCTCAGAGCTTGGGTTCCAGCCAGGGTTTGGCTCTGCTGGGGGTGGTCTTGGGCAGTGGAGATGGTGCACCCAGCCTCAAGCACAGGGGAAAGATTTGGTGGTGGCCTTGATAACAGGGCATCTTGGTAAGCTCAGCCTCTAGCAGGCCGGTGTCTTCTGTGGATTCCACTGGGGCTGAGCCTGGGGCCTGCCCAGCTGCAGTGCTGCGGGTTCAGAGCTCTCATGGACCGTGGATGAGGCCCTCAGCTCCCACTCCCAGTGTGCCTCCAGGGCCCTGCCTGCTTCAGATGTGTGTGGGGGTGGGGATACAGCACACGTGTGCCAGGCAAGGCCCAGAACCTCCAGGGAGCAGAGCCGAGTGCTCCCTGCACGCCCTGTCTGAGAAGCATGCAGGCTGCTGAGGCCCTGGGCGTGGAGCGGAGTCTGGGAGGAAAGCTGGCTCCCTGGGCTGGGCTGAGGCCCCTGAGCTTCCGGGAGGGGCACTGGGAGGTGGGAAAGAACATTCCTGTTGATACAGCTGGAGGAGTCTGGATCCTGTTTCCGAATGCCATGTTTTCAGAAATAGTCTCACTCTGTACTCGGGCTGGAGTGCAGCGGCACAATCTCGCCTCACTGCAACATCCACTTCCTGGCTCAAGCGATTCTCCTGCCTCAGCCTCCCAAGTAGCTTGGACTACAGGTGTGCGCCACTGTGCCCAGCTAGTTTTTGCATTTTTCGTAGAGATGGCGTTTTACCATGGCGGCCAGGCCACTCTCCAACTCCTGATCTCAATTCATCTGTCCACCTTGGCCACCCAAACTGCTGGGATTACAGGCGTGTGCTGCCACGCCCAGCTAATTTTTTTGGTTTTTGTTTTTGTTTTTAGTAAGAGATGGGGATTCTCTAGGTTGGTCAGGCTAGTCTCGAATTCTCGACCTCAGGTGATCTGCCCCCCTCAGCTTCCCAAAGTGCTAGGATTATAGGCATGAGCCACTGTGCCCGGCCAAGTTCTTTTATTTTTGAGACAGAATCTCACTCTGTTGCCCAGGCTGGAGTACAGTGGCTTGACTTGGCTCACTGCAACCTCCACCTCTAAGGTTCAAGTGATTTTCCTGCCTCAGCTTCTCAAGTAGCTGGGATTACAGGCACCCGCCACCACACCCTGGTCATTTTTGTATTTTTAGTAGAGACAGGGTTTCACCGTGTTTCCTGGGCTGGTCTTGAACTGATCTCTGATGATCTGCCCACCTTGGTCTCCCAAAGTGCTGAGATTACAGGCATGAGTCCTTGCACTAGGCTGTGATAAGTTCTTTAGAGTTATTTCATTGCACCAATTATAATTAGCCGATTCATAGGCAAGGACCCCAAGTACAGAGCTTAACTTGCCAAGAAGCCACCAGTCAGCCCTGAGTCGGTGTGATTCCTAAGCTTAATTGTAAAAATAAATTTTTATAAAAGTTACCGTTTGGCCAGGTGTGGTGGCTCACACCTGTAATCCCAGCACTTTGGGAAGCCGAGGCGGGCGGATCATGAGGTCAGGAGTTTGAGACCAGCTTGACAAACATGGTGTAACCCCGTCTCTACTAAAAATACGAAAAAGAAAATTAGCTGGGCGTGGTGGTGAGTGCCTGTAATCCCAGCTACTCAGGAGGCTGAGGCACGAGAATTGCTTGAACCCAGGAGGCGGAGATCGCAGTGAGTCAAGATTGCGCTGCTGCACTCCAGCCTGGGGGACAGAGTGAGACTCTGTCTTAAAATAAAAAAAGAAAAACAAGTCTCTTCCCCCATCCCTTTTCCCAGAGGCAATTTTTGCGCTTAGGATTGTTCTGGTAGTACCATGTTTTAAAGCTGGTGGCTTTCAGACCTTTTTTTTTTTTTTTTTTTTTTTTTTTTTTTTTTTGAGG